GCGCCGTCTCCAGCGCCGAAGCTTGGCTGGGCAGAAGCGGCAGAGCGAGCGGCCGGGCGCAGATCGCCTCGGCGAATGCTGATCGGTGTGTCGCCCAGAAACTGACGACGTCTGAATGGGGGCTCCATCTCGCGCATCGCCGCCTGCGCCCGCCCTGGTCCGGGAACCAGGTTCTCGACGGGGGTGCGGACCGACTGAGGCTCGCCGACCGGACCTGAGCTCAGTCTGGGACGCCAGGGGGGGGGGCGAGGAGAGGGATCGATCTCGCCCCGCCCCGAGATCCGTCGAGAAACCCCGGGAGCGGGACCAGGGGCAGGAGCAGAGGAGGGAGGGTTAGCAGCGGAAGCCCGCCCCAGAAAGGAAAGCGGCCTGGGCTCCTGGGTCTCCTCGACCACAGTCGGATCCGGCTCCCTGGCCGGGGGCGCGACCGCCGTTGCAGCGGCCTCGCGGGAGCTCTCTGGGGGCGCCGCCGCGTCCCAAGACCCTGGGGGAGGTGGCCCTATCCGAGGCCGCGTCGACCGCTCCGACCCTCTTCCCTGGATCCCTCAGATCACTCCTTAGTTTGTCGAACGCCGGCGAGTCTCCAGGGCTCTTCCTTAATGGCCCATCTCGCTTGTTCAGATCCGCACTTAAGAAGGCGATCCCTCATAGCCGCCCACGCCGTGGTGCCCTGCTGAAAGACAACGGCCCCCGGGCCCGCCCATCTGCTTTTCCCGGCGTTTCCATGCGGCTGAAAAGGGTGCTTCCCCCAAACGTGCGCCCAAATCCCGGGGGGAAGACTGGGTCCACATGCTTGCGCGCCTTGGTCGCTGGAACCATGCGCTCACGAACGTCCATCGCCATGACAGCTCGCCTCGCCGCCTCACGAAGCTCGTGCTTCCGGGCGAAGGCAGATGCGCGCGACTCGGCGTCCGCTGAACCCCTCGCCGCATCCTGGATCCCGACGCTGTCGTGAGCTTCGTCTGGCAACAGGCAACGAGGGAGACGACGGTTCCCCCCACGCGCCACTTGGCACGGAAGCTCCCCCCCGCGGTGAGCGCTGCGATTCTTAGCCGCCGCGACCTCGCACAGCAGGTCTCCAACTTCCCCCCGGGCCTCTGGAGCAGCAGCTCCTGAAGACGCCATGACCAAAGCAGCTTGCACGAGCCCCCCATGACGCTCGCAGCGCCTGTTTTGATGGGGTGACTCCGCGTCGCACGCGTGCTGAAAGGCGCCCTCGCGCTCAAGTCCTCGTGAAAAAAGCCGCCTCGAACTCGGGCCCTCCGTCCGCCGTGACTGTCTCAGGCGAACCGAATGACCTGGCCCAGTTCCGTTGGCATGCTGACCAGACCTCCGCGGAGGTAGCATCCCTCAGTAAGGCGCAGACCTGAAGGTTCGACCCATGGCCGATCATGTCAAGCACTGGCCTCGTCTCTCCCAGGGCGCCTACGTGCAGAAGATCTGCCGCAACCAAGTTTTTTAAATGATAGGTTCGCGGCAACCGCGCTCGCCGACGCCACCTGCGTCTGGAAGCAGACTGACGCGCCGGGCACGCAAACAACTTGCCGACCCAATCGATGACCCCGGGTTCAGCCTGAGCGACTTTTAAGGTTCAGCAGAAGTGCTCGCGAAGAAGGTGTCCTAGGTTGACATGCAGCCCGTGCACCTCGTCTTGAAGCTCCTTCGAGAGCACTGCCGGGGAGGGCCCCTCCTTCTCGGCTTCCTCGGTCCCGGGGCGCTTCTCCTCGTCTTCCTCGTCCGAGTCGCTTCTCTCTCCGCCGTCGACTGGTTAAGGATACGCCTGCTTCGCGGCAGCGGCGACTGGGGAAGAAGCCGCAGAGGACCGGTCGAGAGACGCAAAACCTGCTCGCTCGACGCCCTCGGCCAGGGCGCCCACAAGCTGTTCAGGGCATCGCTCAGCAGCTGATGTCCTGGCCCCTCCAATCAAATGCGAATGCGCGTGCTGCCCCGAACATGTTCGCATCACACATGGCCAGAAACTCCCTGCTGTTAGACATGGGCCTCGTGGGTTTCATAGCAAGAACCCCGCCAAACGCCCCTCGCACTTCCCTCCCCTGCCGTCCTGGCCGACGTCCGCGCCCTTGATCCAGAGCACAGTGGAGCCGAACCAGTAGTCCGGCATGAGCCTCACGTCCTCGTCGATGTCCTGCAGACTATCCTCGAAGATATGCTCCGCCATGGCGTCGCCCCGGTCTCGAAAGCGGCAGGTGGTGACCACGCGGTCGTCGCGCTGCTCCAACGTCACAGGGGCCCCCTTCAGCCCCTCGAAAGTCGGCATCGCCCTCGTCGGACGAGAGAAGATCTTCTTGCGCTTGTTGCCGTCGCGCCCCCAACGGTCTTGCCCCCCCTGGAATCCCTCAGCCCGCGTGGAGACCTCTGGTTTGAGCACGAAAGCCGGAAGTCGAGGCGCGAGCTTGGAGTCCAGCTTGAACTCTGAGGCCCTTTTGCCGATCAGGCTGATCGTCCGATGCCCTGAAGGGGGCTTCGTCATCTCTATCGTCGTGGTCTGGCCCTCGCCGACTGTCACCCGATTCTTCGCCATGTCGATCTGAGCGGACAAGAGATCGAGAAATCCTGCTGGCAGAAGCGGAGGGCAGGAGTGCGGCAGCACCAGGAACTCCACGATGCCGCACTGGCGGAACGACACCTGCACGAGCGCCTTCGCCACTGGGCGAACCCTTCCGCATGCCCCGTTGGCGCGCGGCAGGTCGTCTCTGTAATGGATGTGCACTCGGTGGCCCTTCTCCTTGAAAGCCGCCTTCGTGCGCTTCAGGTCTGGGAGTCCGACGAGTGCCTGAGCTGCGGCCGTGTCGACCAACGCGTGATCCGCCATCGCCCGCAGAGTGACTCCCACGAAGTCCTCCGCGCCGCCCGCTCCGACGGCCTCCAGGGCTCTCGCCAACTCGTCAGTGAAGTCCGCGCAGATGCCAGCGCTCGGCGACGACGTCGCCTCGCTCTGAAAGTAGAAACTCGTGCCGCCCATGTCCTCGCGTGGCTTCCCCTCTGACTTCAGACGGTCGGCCTTGGGGCGATATGGCTTTCGGCAATCTTCTCTCCAGCGACCTTTCTTCCCGCAATTCGTGCAGCGCGTTCTCTTCTTCAGGTCGTCTTTGCTGATGCGCTTGAAGTTCGACCCTGGAGGAAGTGGCGGTTGACGTGGCTTTCTCTTTCTATCGAAAAAAAACTCACGATCTACCTCCCGCGCCGCCTTCAGCTGCCTCGACTCCTTCCAGGTTCTCCTACGCTTGGTGGCCATTTCCATGAAAACCGGGTAGCCTTCGTCCTCGTGCAGTTGTTTCTCATCGAGCGCACCCAGAAAGATCGTTGCATCTTCCTCCGGAAATTCAACCTCGAACAGATTCAACTCCCCGTCGTCATCGTCCGAGTCCGAATCGTCATCCTCCTGTTCGCCGGCGGTCACCGGGAAACTCCGGCTAGCGGCCGACTTGTGGCAACACCGACTTCTCAGAAACACCAACCTCGAGCAGCGCGGTCCTGACTGAGGCCTTGGACTTGCCGCCGCCCATGAGAGTGCGCAGGTTCACTCTGTTCTGCTTGGACAGCTGCGCTTCCTCCTCGTAGCATCTCGCCTGCACAGCATCTGGAAGAGTGAGTCCAAACCGCTCAGTCTGTGCAATCTGACGATCCCGGCGAATGACATATGACGTCAGCCACTCGTCAGAACGGATGAGATAGTCGAACCAAGTCTCGTTGTGCGCTTCTCGCTCCTGGTCGCCAGGTCTCTCACCCTTGAGCAAGTGTAGGTGATTCAACAGCTCCGTGATTCCGATCTCGCTGTCGAGGGCATGTCTGCCGTCCTTGCACTTGGACTGAAGATCAACCGAGAACTGTTCTAACACCTTGCTCGCTTGGTGCTCTGGGAGCACCCCAGTCCTCTTGGACCAAGCCTGCAGGTTGGCCGTGAAGATCTAAATTCTCTAGACCGGGAAACGGAGGCGGAACCGAGAAATCCTCGGTCCGTCTGGACGCATCTAGCTTCGTCCATCCGCTCGCGCTGGCGTCGTCACTGTGCCACTCCCAGCCTGTCCACTCCCAGCTCCACCAGGAACTCCACCAGCTCCTGTTGTACTGTTCGGTCGGCCCTGCTTCCTCTGGTGGCGGCTGCTGCTGTGTAGCCGCTGCCGCCGGTGGCGTGGGGTCACCCGTCTGTGTCCTCGGATGTCCTCGCGCCCTCTTGTGCATGTCCCGACCCTCTCGCATCCACGATCCGGCTACCATTGAAATCGTCGTCGAATGGCATCGAAAATAACGAGTTATCTAAAGGATGGGCACCCAATTCTCCAAGGAACACCTCTGGAACACACGATACAAGCGCACTAACCCCCGCCAGCCGGCGGGCCTCTAAGCCAAAGGCTACAGACACGGGACTCCTACACACGGTCAGATCCAAGAGACCTCGAGGGGGGAGGGGAGTAGGAATACGACCACAATAGGGCTGCTTGGCGTGGAGCCGCCGGGTGGAGAAGTAGCGAAAATCCCACCCCTGCGCTGACCGCAGGCCAGAGACTGCGTGAAGCGAGGCGGGGACGCTACACAGGAGGAACAAGGAGGAGGAGAGGAGGACGGGGAGGGCGGTTCAAACGGGATACGTCAATTGACCACATCACCGACTCCAGCGCGCTGGGGGCGGCGGGGAGGGATGGGCCCCGGGGCTGATCCAAGACATCCGCGCTGACCTCCGAAAGGTTCCTCCAAATTTCGTAACGAAGGGAGGAGGTCACAACTTTACCGACCTCAGAAAAGGTTCGTCAAATTTCGTAACACAGGGAGGGGGTCACCACCTTACCAGAAGAGCAATCTTCGCCACTCTTCCCCCTTCCCCCCCCCCCCAACACCACCCATGAAAGGGCAGCCCTCGGCCACACACCCTGGAACCCTCCAAGACAGCTCAAATCGGAACTCCCCCCCAAGATCGGATTACCCCCAACCAGCATCCTAAATCCCGACCTCTTGGCCACATTTCCCCTTCTTCGATCCTCCTCCTCCTCCTCGTCCTCCTCGTCGGCGTCCCAGTGCCCGGCGGGGTCGCCCAGGCTGCGGGGCGACGCGGGGTTCAGGTCGGACAGTATCGACGGCACCCGCACGGGCGGCAAGCTGCTCAGGAGGGACGACACCGACGTCTTCCTCTTGGCGGCGCGCGCGAGGGGGTATGGGGGAGGGGGGAGGACTTCTTAGAGGGAGGCTGCTTCTCAGAAGGCGCCGGCCTTACATCTGTAGAGAAGGTCCGCTCCTTCTAAGAAGCAGTGAGTGCTTCTAAAAAGCCTTCCCCCCTCCAAATGCCCCCCTCTGCGCGTGGCTGACTCTTCTAGAGGCCTCCTAGATGGGGTCGGAGGATCTCGCCGCATGGTCGATGCATCGGCCATGCATCGGCGACGTCGGCGGTGCATGGGCGACATCGGCGTGGAGGAAATGTGGCTCTATATCGAGCCGCATCGGTGATGGATTCAGTACGAGGAGGAGGAGGAGGAGGAGGAGGAGGAGGAGGAGGAGGAGGAGGAGGAGGAGAGGAGGACGAGGAGGATTCGGAGAATGAGGAGCCCCCCTGTGCGCGTGGCCGATCTTCCTTGACGAGGGCGACACCTTGAAATCGTGGAAGCTGGCCGCCGTTCCGGCCGTGCCCCTTCGCCAGATGGCGCCAACCATAGACGCCTGCACCGATCCCGGCTGGGCCCGCCTCGGTTCCAGGAGCGTTGTCTACGCCCCGCTGGCTTGGCCAGGAGGGCACACACACATACACATCTAATGTATGCATATCGCCTTTCATCTAGACTACATCTGGCTACACACATAAATATGTATGTCTATGAGACATCTGTGCATACACACACACATATATATGTATATATATATATATATATATATATATATATATATATATAGGCCGATAGTTGTATATACATATACATGTACATATCGATATGTCTCTACATGCACGTGCATAAGTATGTCTGTACCAGAACCGCGCGCGCTCCGCGCGCTAATGCCCCAGCTAAGCGAACTCGTGCCGTGGCATTGGACTTTCTGACGGCCAATCGTACAGTTCCTGGGGATCCGCTTGGGCACTTGCGGCCTTGTGAATCATGTGGGGGTGCGATAATGTCTGAAAGACTCTCGGGCGTATCAAGAGAGAACCAGGCCCTGGGCTGCACGCAACTGCATAGGGTGGTCCCTTCGCCAAGCCAACTGGTTTCTGCTCCACTTGGTGCAGGCGTATCTCGGCCGGCACCGTGACTGGGTTGCGTGTCAGAGGCGTCTTCTTACCTGTTGGGCTCCCTTGGGGTGACTCTCGGTGGGCCCCAGAAGAAGTTGTGACGCCTCCTGGAGCCTGCTGGGGGCCTTTAGTGGGCTCTTTCAAGACTCTTTGGGGCCTCTTGGGGACCTCTTGGGGCATCTGGGGGCGTCTTGGGTGCGTGCTAGCGGTCACTGTGGGGGCATCTCGGGGCGTCTTGGGGCATCTTGGCGCACAGATTGTAGGAAGCCGCTGTGTGGGGCCCACGCTGGCTAACATAAAAAACATATCCGCCACCGTGCCCCTGTGGCAGGAAGTGGTCTGTCCCCACGTCCCTTGCTACACCCTGCGAAATGCTTAAGAAATCATGGGTTAAGAAATTCATAGTCTCAGAAATTGACTAAAACCCAGAACTTCTATCAAAATCTTGGGATTTACATTGAAACGTTCAGAATAATCGAGACCCTGGCCGAAACTCTAGGTCTTCTTAAGCATCGCCCAAGGTGTAACCCCTGAGCCTCAATCCTCAATTGTGAGGATCCTTTCACGGGCCTGGACCCGTGGGTCTTGCCGCGTCTCGTGGGTCTTGCCGCGGGTCTTGCCGACGGGGCGGAGGGAGCGGAGGAGGAGGAGGAGGAGGAGGAGGCAGAGGCGGCGGAGGAGGAAGCTCAACCATGCCGCCGGCGCCGTGGACACCCGTCGCGACGGAAGGATCTCGGCCGTCTTCGGCCTCCGGGGGAGCTCGCACTGAGCCCCGGGGCCGCCAAGCGGCGTCGCCCGCTCCCGAGGTGCCGCCTCGACAGCCCCTTGCTGGGCCCGCGTCCCAGATCAACAATCTCGTGGGTCTTGCCGCGTGCTCCCTGGGCTCACTCGCGCCTTGGCACATGGCTTCTTCGGAGCCGTGCGGGCTCCACGACGGACCAATAGGGGCCCCAGGAGGCCGCCCAGTCGGTCCAAAAGGGTGGATCGAATCAACGGACGATCGGTCCACGACGCCCAGGATGGCCCCAAAACGGCCCAAGAAGCCTTCGCGACGCCCACAGGGAGCTTAGAGAGCCTTCCCCAGACGGCGTAAAGAAGCTACAATCATTGATCTTCCTTGCGGTTTTTCCCTACCTAGGCTCTGCCTAGAAGGGTTCTTACTCTCTGGGCTTAAATGGGCTGGACAGTGGAAAGCGCCCCGGGCGGTTCCCCCAGTATCCGCCCCGCGGTTCCCCCAGTTACGTCCCCTTAGCTTAGCGTTGCTTATCTCATCTTAGCTTAGCGTATGTCATATTCGCTTAGCTTAGCTTCATCTTCGCTCAGGTTTATCTTAGCTTAGCTTACCTTCATCTTAGCGTCGCTGAGCTTTAGCATAGCAGAGCAGATAATAGCATAGCGTAGCATAGCATAGCGCAGCACAGCATATCATAGCATCGCCCAGCATAGCATATCATAGCGCAGCATAGCATAGCATAGCATAGCATAGCACAGCGCAGCATAGCACAGCGCGTAGCATAGCATAGCATAGCATAGCATAGCAGAGCATAGCAGCAAAGCAAAGGCAAAGCAAAGGCAAAGCAACAGCAGCGACAGCAAAGCAAAGCACAAGCAACGCAGCTCCCCCCACGGTTGGCGACGAGCTGGCAGCGACGACGACGAGCTGGCGGCGACGACGACGACGACGACGAGCTGGCAGCGACGCCGACGAGCTGGCGGCGAGCTGTGGTCGTCGTCGGCTGATACCCAATCTGCAGTGCTGCAAGCGTCGTCGTCGTCGTCGGCCCCCCCTCCTAGAGCAAACAAAAAAACGGATCCGTGGGCGACGCCGCCGCTGCCGCCACTGCCGCCGCTGCCACCTGCTCCTCCTCGTCATCCTCATCGTCATCCAGCTCCTGGTCCTCCTGCCCCAGATCTGTGGGTGTATTTTGTGGCGCTCGTGTGTGCCAAACGCGTTGCCAGTCTAGTGTTCTGTTCGGGTAATTCGCCTGGGTGTAATTCCCTACCTAGGCTCTGCCTAGAGGGTTAGCTTAGTTTAGCTTAGCTTAGCTTAGCATAGCGCTGCATTAGCATAGCATAGCATAGCATAACAAAGCCACGCATATCATATCATAGCATAGCATAGCATAGCGCAGCATAGCATATCATAGCGCAGCTTAGCATACCATACCATATCATACTTAGCATAGCGCAGCATAGCACAGCGCGGCATGACATAGCATAGCTTAGCTTAGCTTAGCTTAGCATAGCATAGCATAGCGCAGCATAGCATGGCATGGCATGGCATATCATAGCAACTAATGCTGCTTTCCTAGGGGCTCCAACTTCTAGGTAGGGTCGCACTGGGGTAATTCATTGTTTTTGGAGTTCTCGACGCTTCGAGCTTCCGACGCTGCATGGCTGCCCAAGAGGCTCCCAAGACCGCCATAAGGCGCCCAAAGGGGCGCCAAGGCGCGCCCAAGACGAACCCAAGACTGCCCAAGAGAACACCAAGACGGCCTCAAGAGGTGGAACGAGGACGGAAGCCGAGCCTTCCGCCGCAAGGGGCCCGCGGGAGGCCCCCCAAAGGCCCCAAAACGGCCTCCAACAGGCATCAAAACTGCCTCCACGAGGCCCCCGAGAGGCATCCCACGACATTCCAACGAACATCCCAGGGGCATATGACCCACAATCCAGGCACGGTGGCGGGATGGGCCAAAGGCCATACAGGTGTGTGTGTGTGTGTATATGTGTGTGTGTATATATATATATATATATATATATATATATATATGCCAGAACCATCGCGCGCGCGCTTCGCGCGCGCTCAGGTTCTAGCCCAGGCCGGGGGGGCGCTGGACGATCTTGGACAACGCTATCAAGCACAGGCGCGCGACGGCATCTGAGGAGCTTCTGGGGTGTTCCGCATGCTTCGTCAACTGGCTGTTGGAGGCACCTCTTGGGTGCTCTTGGGGGGGCGTCTGAGGGTCCCTTGGGGGCATCGGTTCTGCAATCTGAAGCCGTCATTGGCCGTCTTGGCTGCGTGGAGGCCCGACTTGAGGCCACCTGCGGCCAGATTGAGGCAATCCGGAAGCCTCCCGGGGGCCTCCTGGAAGCAGTTTTGACGCATCGAGGGCACTCTTGGGCTATTTTAAAACCTCTTGGACGTCTCCTAGGGGCCTTTTGGGCCCTCGGGAAGCTTTTGGGGTCCTCTTGCGGCCTCCTGTGGGCCTTTTGGGGGGAACGCTCTGCTGTTGGGTCGCGTTCCCCTTCTTGGGTCTCTCTTGGGGCTCTTGGGGCCCTCTCGGGCCGTCTTGGGCGCCTCAAGCACCGTCTTGGGGCCCTCGCGGGCCGTCTTGGGGCCCTCTTGGAGGCCTCTTCCTCTATATTGGAGCGGTATTGGAAGCCTCTTGGGCCGTCTTGGAGCATCGGGATGCCAAAAGGCCGAAAAAATTAAACCCGTCAAAGCCCAATCGTAAAACAATGAGTTGTGCCTCTTGGGGCCACCTTGGGAGATCTCTTGGAACCTCGTCGGCCCTCTTGGGAGCTTCTTGGGGGCCTCTTGGATCCGATTGGGGGCCTCTTGGGACTTCCCGAGAACCTCTCGGGGTAGAAAGCTCGGATTCTCAGTTCGTGTTTCCCTTCTTGGGCCTCTCTTGGGGCCGTCTTGGGGCCCTCTCGGGCCTTCTTGGGCGCCTCAGGCACCGCCTTGGGGCCCTCGTGGGCCGCCCAGGGCCCTCGTGGAAGCCTCTTCGGCTATCTTGGAGCTGTCTTGGAGGCCTCTTCCTCCTCGTCCCCCTCCTCCTCCTCCCACTCCAGCTCTCTCTCCTCCTGATCTCCTCCTCCTCCTCCTGCAGCGTGTTCCGGAAGGCTCCCGCCGGAACATGCTGTGCACAAGTGCTGTCACTGCTCCCGCCACAGTGCCCTGGGTGGTGGGTCAGAGGCCTCATGGGTGTTGGTTTGGATCTCGTGGTTGGCCTGTCGGAGACGTCGTGAAGGCAGTTTCGCAGCTTCTCGGTAGCCGTTTTGGGACCGTTGTGGGGCCTCCTCGGGGCTGTTTTGTTGCCTCTTTAGGCCTCGTTTGGGCCTCCTGGGTGCCTCTTGGGAGCCTCCTGGGGCCTCTTGGGGACTCCTTGGGGCCTCCTGGGGCACTCTTCAAGCGGGAGGATCGAATTTTGGAGTCGTGATCCCCCTCTTGGGCGCATCTTGGGGCCGTCTTGGGGCTCTGTTGGGCTGTCTTGGGCGACTCTGGGGCCGTCTTGGGGCCCTCTTGGGCCGTCGTGGGGCGCTCTTGGGGGCCTATTGAGCCGTCTTGGAACGTCGGACAGCCGAAAAGGCTGGAAGGCCCAAATCGTTCGAAAACCTTTTGTAAAATTTACGATTTCGGCCTCTTGAAGCGCTCTGGAGAGGTGCAGATTGGGCTCCGAGGAGGG